TCACAAATCGGCAGACTGTGGTCATTTAATAACATGGTGCAGCCTTCTCCCGGTTTAAAGTCAAGAGTTAGCTAGTGGACCAGGAGTGCACAGGTGCTGACTGATGTGAGCTATTTGCAAACTACTTTCATCTCAGAATTTTCGTTAAAAGATGCTTTTGTGACCATAATGACACAATTAACCCATTCTCGCTTGCCCAATGTAAGAGAGCCTGGCGAAGTCAGGCCGGCCCGGCGAGCTGTGCCGTGGCAGTCAAGAAGCGCTCGGCGATAGCTAGGCGATCCGACTGGTTATTCAATATTTCATCAGTTCTTCGGTCATCGAATCTTTACTGTTTGTGTTCCGACCTCTTTGTTACAGATGTCTTCAAACAACTTTTTTTAAACTACAGTTGGTTCCAGCTTACAGCATCCCACGTGTCGTGTCGCGCGGTCTTGCAGAACGCGATCGCGCACTTTTCCAGTGGCAGACCTCCACCGATTTAGAGTGATCCTAATGAAACAATATTCTCAAGCATCACCACTGCAGGGAAATGGACGAATGGATATCAGTGAATGAATAGTATCAGTGAAGGGACTTTCCTTCGTGCGGATTGATATAGCAGCTTGAATACGGAGAGGCTTCCTGTTGGTGAAACATTGTATAATGCCGCGAGAATCCTTACCTTGTGGAAAGAGGAGGGATTGTGGAAAGAGTAGGAAAGTTCGTAGATTTTCGTCATCCTTTTGTATAAAGGTCGCATGGTTTCAGCGCGACATATTTTTGGACACAGTCCGTTCGCCGGCTCACAGCACGCCGCGCGCCTCCTCCGTGATCCGCCCGGCTTTAGCCGGGCGGGCGCGCTTCGCCGACCTAACCGTCCTTCTACAATGAATACTTCAACATTATCCGAGCTTTTAATTTCATCCTGTACATCATAGTCAAGCGCGTCCTTTGAGCAATAAATCATTACCTACATTTCGACACTATTTACCATCTATGAAATGTGGTAAGCAGCGTTGATCTAGGGCGCAGATGAGAGAGAAACCGGGTATTACTTGAGCATTCAAACATACGCAAGCAGGTGGGCGCGACGAAGTAAGCAAAAGGCAAAGCCTGGCCCTATTAGAAAAGGAGTAGCGCCGGCGACAGCCATTGAACACGACTGGAGTGAGTGGTGGCGGCCTATGCACTAAAACGCAGTGAAAGTAGGGACCCCGTGCTTGAGAACACGCTCCACCCACTGTGGGCGGGTCTCAACACACCACAGACATGCTGAACTCTCGCCATATGTTTCTCTTCACCAAAAGTTTCCTGCTCTATGAGCTCACTCAGATGCGAACCACGAAGTTTTTCAGCAAGTGCCTGCCCATCACGAAAGCAGCCTCCATTTTTGAGATGTCTCCTCCACTTCGCCCGCTGACCCCTTGTGGACCTCAATCCACCTGTCCCCAGTGCCCGTGCTGCTCCGCAACTAATTCATGAATTTTTTCCTTCACCCGCCGACAACATTGATACAGCTCCGCACAGAATGGGAAAATGTCAAATCAGCTCTAGTGGCTCCTGGTAAGCTCCTGCAAATATTCTGCTCGTCTTTTGCCGTGCCTGGAGTCCGTTATGGAACCATTCTATTTGCTCGTCTTTGCCGGTGCCTGGAGTCCGTTATGGAACCATTCTATTTTTCTGCGCTTGGCTCCGCCGCCTAGCCGCACGCTCCGCCTACAACGGCTGTGTGCCGCATCAAACAGTGATCCCTTCCTGACCATCCACTTCCGTGTTTTACAGAACTTTTGTCTTGTTCGCCACCGCACCTCGGGCGCCGCACCGCCCACAACATGTGCTGCCCCACGTGTTCTCTGAATCGGCGACCGCTTTGCTTTTTGACCGTGATACCACTTTATTTGCGACCCCTAGTTCTGGAACGCGTTTTAGCACGACTCTTGTCTGATCTCCCGCCCCACCTCGGGTAGGCTCCGCCCACAACATGGGCCTCGCATTTTAAAGCGGCGACCCTTTGCTGACCTTCATCCACTTTCTTTCGGTCCCTGGAGTGCTCTGGATCCGTTTTACAGAACTTTTGTCTGTCTCCGCCCACCTCGGGTAGGCTCCGCCCGCAACATGTGTGCCCCACATTTCGCAATCGGCGACCCTTTGCTGACCTTGATACACTTTTTTCCGGTCCCTGGAGTGCTCTGGAACCAAGCTATAAATTTTTTTGAATGTGCACCCTATGAATGAGAGCAAGCTCCGCCCACTGTGGGCGGGTCTCAACACACCTCAAGCATGCCGAACTCTCCCCAGGTGTTGCCCTCCTACACCGACTTTTTTTGCGATTTCTAAACTCTCTCGGGAACCGAGTTAATGGATTTCTCGTGAAGCACCGCCTATTTCAAACAGACCGCCCCGCCATTTCGGTATGTCCCCACTAAATTGGTTCGACAACCCCTTGCTAACCTTATTCCACTTTTTCCCCATCTCTGGGCTGCTCTGGAAGCGAGTTATGGGTTTTTTCTGCGGCTCCGCCAAATTTCGGCGCATGCCCCGCCTACTGAGGGCGTGGCTTACCGTGGGATCACGGGTGCGAATTAACATCTTGCTCATATCCTGCCCAATGTTCCACCTGACCCGACTCTCCCCAATTGGTGTTTCAGGTCGAAACCGAATTCCCCGGGACAAACCACAACAGAAACCAACCTGAAGCAAATTATATGTAGTGAGTGATCCGTCCTTTGTATGTGACGCCAATTACTAACTCCTAAGTAGGGCAAGATTCCTCTACGACGATTTCACTCTACGAACGCGCTTTCTTCCATTCCTCAAGGTTCATGCGTTTGTTACAACCTTGTGTCATTGCACGACTACCCTTCTACGCGAAGTGAATACTACCTTTGCCACTGCGGTACGTTCATCCATTGGCAAAGATGATTTCAAAAAAATAGGGGAGCCTTTTTTGGGACGGAGCAATCTTTGTACCCGTTCTCAAGGAGTGCAGGGATTGCTCTGCTAGAAGCCGATCCGGGATTTAACACTCGACGTTTACCCCTTTGGAAAAAAGTCCTCTAAAGCCAGTGATCACTCTGATCGACTAGCAAGTCTCCTCCTCTTCAATGGATGGGATTTTTTGAGGCACTTCCCGCGACTGCACAACATAGGTAGCAGGGTTCAAAAACAGGAGTGCATTGTGCTAGTTGACTTAGTAGTGAAGAAAAAAGTATGAAAAACCGTCCTCAATATGACCCTCCTTGCACTTGATCATGATCATCGGACGAGAGTAGGATGGTCAAGATCAACAGTGATATGCAGAAGGTGACGATACACTGCAAAGCGCGGAGAGAGACCAGAAATTGACGGGCGAGAGAGCACAACGGCATTATTATGACGACACGAGGCAATGTAGGCCGGCATGAGGCGTGCTTGGGCCTAAAAGCGACGTTGTCTGTGCTTTGCAGATAGCGCAAGAAATTCTCTACAGGATGTGCTACTGAGAAGCAAGGCAGAATGAGTTTTTAATCAGCAGTGAATGTACAAAAAATAGGTGCACAAAACAAAAAATACAATACAAAAAATGTTCGCTGGTTCATAATCTACCATGACAAGCGTAGCCATCTTCCGCAGCCCCCACGTGCCCATTTAGGTCGCCAGCAATAGTATTACTGCTTTCTGGTGGCTCTCAGCCGCCTTCTCATCTGCAGAGCCCGAAACTCGTCCTAGAATTTCGTGAAGCACCTAGTTCGCGAGGCATATGGTTGCCGAAACCAACTGGACTAGTAATCGAGTCGCCCAACCACTGATATAGTGCAGGTCGGCTACCGCTGACCCCGCACGCAGTTTTATTTCGGAACTCATTCGTTATCATTAAACATCAGACAGTCGGACTTTCTTTCTTCTTCCAGATCGGAACTGTCATGCTCTGCGGCCAGCACTCGAGCGTATTTTTCTCTGTGACGATCTGGTTGAGAAGTTTCGTCTACCATACTGCATTCCAGTGCTGGGACTTCCACAAACCAGCTACCAAGTCGTCGAGTCCTGTTGCCTTCATTGCCTTCATCTTTTTCAGAGCCACTTCGGTTCCCTCAGGTGCGGAAGAGGAGATAAGGGGATAGGTGAACACCACTGTCGAGATCCTCTCACGTGCCTTGCTGCTATCCTACAGTCTCTCAAAACACAAGCGGCGGGCGCCGATCGATTCCCGTCTGCGGCTGCATTCGCGTCTAAAGAATTGGAGCGCTGTTGCAATCGCATTACAGCGCGTCACAGCGTGTCGACGCGCAAAGTCTGAACGCTGCCCACAGAAGAATCAAGTGCACGACGGCTAATACTAATCACACATAGCAGTTTGCAGCGAACTGGCTGCAGGTGAGTACATCTCGACAGCGAACACGCATTTTGACTTCTTGAATGAATTCTTTCCTGACTAAAGAATTCCCTATCATTCCTCCTCAGAATGAGCAAATCTTCGTTCCTTATTTCCGTCTGATTTTGCATCCAACATCATCCAGTTTCGCCCCGCAGTGGTTCATGTAGAACCGAGCTTTCGGACAGCAAGAAACAAAAGTAGCGAAATATTTTTTTCATCTCTGCTGAAGAGGTAAGGACTCAGTAGCGCAGTAGTGCAGCAAGAACGGAACGAAACGATCGAAAACGCCCGAAATGAGCCCTTATTTCCCGCTTCGATGAGAAAGTGAGGCTCAGAACCCCAAGAATGCGCTGCTTACAAGGAAACCGTGCTGTGTTCCAGAGAATGATATTTTCGTTACCATGAGCACTAAAGTCTTCAGAAGGAAATCAGGAGAGGGGAAAAAGCACCACGTTGCCGCAGTTTGTGATCGTAACCACCTGATCCGGCCGCAATCAGTCGCTGACGGTGCTGCCATTTGTAGGGGAGGGGGCGGTTTCGGTAAGGGCCAGCATGTTGCGCGGTGGGGCGCTCTTAGCGCGCCTTTGTTTGGAAAGGCACCAGAGGGTCTGCAAAGAGGCACAATATTCGTCCTCGCTAGAAGTATTTACCAAAGCAAGTTATCATGCTTCACACTCCATCTGAGTGTTCAGATCACGTATCCACTCGTATGGACAATTCACTGCTTGTCACGACCAGGAAATTTCTGGAGCTCAAAGATCTCAGCGAAGTGAAGCTCTGAACGTTTGCCATTCTCTCTGTTTCGCAGACTTTCTTTTCTTCATTCTATCCTTTTCAGAGTGTGAATTTGAATGACGCAGCAGAGATACTGAATGTTCCCAAACGTCGTCTTTATGATATAACTAATGTGCTTGAAGGTATCGACCTCGTTGAAAAGATTGGAAAAAATAGCATCAGATGGAAGTAAGTTGCAAATGTAGTAGAACGTTAACGTATATCTGGAGTGTAAATTTGCTACCAGCACAACAACTGGACATCAGTCCGTAGATCGCAATTGAGCTAACGCTATGAGGGAAATTATTCAATCAAAACCTTTTATACAATGAGAGTTGAAGCCTAACGAGATCATGGTCATCTTGACGCCTATTGGTGGTGTCAAGGCCGTTAGCAAAAACTTCCTTTCACTTTTTTTGCAAGGGCCTCGTTCTGGAGGTTCAAACTGGACAGACTAATTCGATATCGAGATAGAAGTGCTGATAGGCACGCTCGCTTCTCCAGTGATCGACATGAGTCACAGGTTTTAGCAGTCCGATGCATTGGCCCGTCAGTTGCACAGATGGGCTTTAGGTCTTGACTTTCGCCCCCATTTCTCATGATAGACGTATTTGATTGAACATCTGTGTCAACTTTACAGAATCCCACATAATTACCTACTTGTTGTGAGCTAGGAAACATGCCCGATAGTACGATATTTTTACCCTTCATTGTACGACTGGTTTCGATTGGATATTTGCGCCTGATCTGTCATAACGCGAGCTCACGGTGATCTATAGACTGATATATAATTATTAGGTTGGCGGGAAAGTTCTGTCACATTTTTTCAAACTAGGCTTTCTTTTTATAGAGAGGAGTGTAAGATCAAAATTGTACAGCAATGTTACTGCGGGGTCCTTGCCACTGTTTGAGCACCTCATGGATGCCATCGCTTCACTATGCAGGGAGACACGACGCAAAGTTGGACACCATCTCAACCTCGACTTGAACTTGGGTTATGGAGGTTTTCTCGTCCGCATAACGATCGATTACGGAAGGCAACTTGCTATTAGAAGGGGCGATGTCTGTGCTACACAATGCAAGGGGAGAGAGATCAAGCTCCATTGCATGAGGTACGGCTCGAACTTTTTTGGACCAAGTGCGTTGCACTATCTTGGTGAGGGCCGGCTGTGCGGACAAATTTTTCCCTCTGATCCACGATACGCCTTAGATCTCGTAGCTGCTTTGCGTACGCCTTGACCAAGGAACCAGCTTCTTCATCCAGCAGTTTCCCGACCCATAGCTCCCTCAATGCATTGGCTGGATGCCCTTGGCTAACCCCATCGACTTCGCCTTTTTGCAAGACCAGAACTTTCTCAGATCGATCGTTACTCATGAGAGCTGGGTCCACTACGTTTATAACTCACCAGCCTCATTAAAGCCCGACATCTATGCCAGAAACATTTGGGTTCGTTGTGTGGAACTGACAAAGTATGCTATTCTGGAGACATCTCGAGTTCAAACAGTCAGTGCCGATACCTGTTTGAAACTGATATGTAACTTTGCCGCAGCAGCGCTGAAAAAGCTCATTGGCTCATGGTGAATCTCGATGTTACACTAAGAACACGACTTCCACATACTTGAGAAGAGCTGAGCTGGAGCAAGGTCAACAATCACCTTAAACCCATGTCATGTCGGTCGAAGCGCGGAGCAGATGATAGTTTCACACACGACCGACATGGGTTTAAGGTGATTGTTGACCTTGCTCCAGCTCAGTTCTTTTAGTATGTGGAAGTCAAGTTCTCAGTGTAACATCGAGATTCACCATGAGCCAATGAGCTTTTTCAGCACTGCTGCGGCAAAGTTACATATCAGTATCAAACAGGTATCGGCACTGAGTGACTGTTTGAACTCGAAAGTTTGAACCCAGAATAGCATACTTTGTCAGTTCCACGCAACGAAGCCAAATGTTTCTGGCATAGATGTCGGGCTTTAATGAGGCTGGTGAGTTATAAACGTAGTGGACCCAGCTCTCATGAGTAACGATCGATCTGAGAAAGTTCTGGTCTTGCAAAAAGGAGAAGTCGATGCGGTTAGCCAAGGGCATCCAGCCAATGCATGCAGATTCCATCGAGACGTCATTTTGTGGTAGCCTAATCCAGTTTACAATGTTGCTACGTTAGTGTAACACGGTAGGCCACTGAGCACGCAGTCCGCTTTTCGAAAACGGTTTTTTGCATATTGTACGGGCCCAAAAGGACCTGAAGAGTGAGCTTCATTTTTGCTGTGCGGAAAAATATGATAGGAAAAATAAACAACGACAACCGCAACCATCTCATTTTGAGGCAGAGCCATGCAGTCGTTGCCTGAATTTTTTCCGCATGTAACTGAATCTAATGGTGGTTATGCTGTCGGCTGGATTATTTATCTGAAGTAAAAAAGCGAATAAATAAAAGTGTCAAATATCATAAAAAAATTATGTGACAACCTAAAAGCCTTTTTCGATTTTTCAGGAAAAGCTTAAGCAAGACCGAGAGAAAAGCCTCTTTTCTCAGCTCAGGAAAAACTGGCTCCGAGTCGTTATAATTGTGTTCTATATGAATTTCAGTTGCAGGACCAACGACGGAGATGGCATGGTATTGGAAGCACTTCACGTGGACTGCAACTCTCTGCGATATCGAGAGGTTAAGCTGGGCTCTGTGCTTCGTGACTTAACATCCACGCTTATGTTAGCAATGGAAGACCCCAGTTCCAAACCGTATGGGTGTGTTTGCATGAGCATTCTCAAGATCATTGTTCTTGAATAGTGCTATTTCATCTTGTATACTGTCGAGTAGTGCCCGATTGCCCACTAATTTTACTGTTCTATAGCAGAGCGAAACATGAACTGCACTAAACTATCGGGAACGAACTTGTTCGGCAAGCAAAAATTTTTCGTTTTTTAATTTTAATGAATGCTTCTTATGTTAATGAAATGCAGTTGTACTCAAATTACCCACAGTTGGAGTGACGCTATAAACTGGCTCTGTATAGAGGACCAAAGTATTGGTTTTTGCTGCGATATGTGTGCTGAGCAGTGTCGCTTGCAAATCCCAGGGGCGGTTGCGCACAAATCTCACACTAAGATGTGCACCTATTACACCAAGTGGTTTTTTCGAAGGAAGTGCCTGTCAAACCAATCAGACCTTTGACTCAAGTCAGTCCTTTCATCTTGAAAAAAATGCGGTGCAGTGGCTAACAGTGAAACAGGTGATGCAGCCAGCTGGTCACGAAATTTCGATTGATGCTCCTATGACCGTACAGCAGCAATCCAGTGTTGTTTTAGTTGTTAGCGTCAGTGATCCAGTGAGTTCAGCAGTGGCAAGCAGTTCACTCCATACGAATATGTGGACGAATATGTAGACGATTTGCTGATAGTGCGTAACCAAGACGAAACCACTGTGGAAGAACAGCTTACAGAAGTCTCCAAAAACACAGTTCAACTGAAAAACTCACATAAGTGAGATATCGATTAGGTCATCTTGTTCAAAAACGTGGAAACATCTAGGAATGCCACTAAAGGAATGGCACTGAAGCAAATTGGATAGGGTTACGTACTACTATATGGTTCAAAAGCTGGTACCCTTAACAAAGTATACGTGAAATTTGGCCACGGTGGGTTCTAGGTTCCCTATAGTTTTGGTTAATTTTCCCATTCTTATCAATCATATTGTGTATAGCTTAGTCGGCACCTCAGCAGTTCAGCGCAGAGGTAACCAAAACTACAATAAATCTGGAAAACCCACCTCAGAAATAGGGTGCACGCGCTCAACAGGGCCGTCCATCCGAAAAAATTTCAATGTATCTGAGAATTTCAATGTGTTAAAGGTAAAAAAGCATAATAACCGACAAACATTAGAACAGATAAAAAAAGTGGCAGGAAGATGAAAAAACAAGCGAGAAGCTAACGGGAGGAGAAAGAAGGAAAAAGTAAGTGAATACGGCTGTGAATTAGCATCCGTCCAGTCGATTTTTGGAGCGCGATCTAGTCAGTCGCGCTACGATCGTGCACTAGCACTAGCACGCAATCGTCGTGCGCGGGCGCGATCGATCGCCCGAACGCGCGACCGAAGGCCGCTGTCGCGAAGTGTGAACGTTGCTTGAGTAGTGGCGATTTTTTCTTCCACAAATTCTTATATGAAAAGTGAAAGTCGTTTCCAAAGTGTTCTGTGCTGCTCGATGACAATTTCTCGCTTCACTAGGTGAAGTTACTTTCTCACTGCTTCTTGGTTTCTACCGATTTTTGATTCATTTATCGATTTTTATTTCATTGAAGTGGCCTCAAGGAATCATATGACATGAGTGACAGAATGTGCGCTCACTAGTTATCGCTCTCGTGCCAGCTTCGTTCTTTCCCACACTCGTGCGTCGGTCCTCTCTCGATATGCCATGGTCTCGCCACCAGTCGGCTGTCGTTATCCTGGCCTCTGTTTTCGCAGCGCAATCTCTCGTCCTCCTGTCTGCTCTCCAGTTCATGTCTTCGCTCCTCTGTCGCCACCCGAGCTCTCCGAGTATATCACGCAACTCTTGCCTGGCATCTTCGATGAGTGAACGTGCATCACTTTTTTTTATGAGAGACGTTGCACAATGCTGTATGATGCCCACTGTCGTCGAGCATATGCGACTCAAAGCGTGTCCTCGTACGCGACTGCTACAGAGACATACTGAAGCGGAGTGCTTCGACAGAACAATTGGTATGGGGGGGGACAGGGGGAGGACAAAACCCTGCCGAAGTAAGCCGGCCGTACTAATGCGAAACGCGCCCCGTAAAACTCGGAATCCGTAGGTCGAGATGAAAATATAGGTGATAGTCACAGCTACTGCAAGAGGTCCCCTGGTGAGGCCCTCGCCAAGTCTACTAAATGAAGCAATGCTGCTACGTGGCTACAATGTGAGTGTTGAATCCTCTCCATATCATTTCAAAAGTCCACCTGCATATAAGACGGAGATTGCTAGGAAACCTCCTTGCTGGTCTTCCCATAATCAGAGAAAGGTAAATAAAGTCGTGGGAGTTTCTGAAGATAACTGTTATTCGAATGGCTCCACTGGCCAACACCTTGGATTCAACAACAATATCCAGCCACATGTGCAGTCGGTGTTGCTGCAATATGACGCGGGAGGACAAGTGACAGTCGCCATAAGCGACGTGTTCTTCAAACTGTTCCACTGAGCGTC